TTCTCGGTACGTTCACGAATTTACATCCAAATAAAAAAAAGTCGTAAAGAATAATCCCGAGAAATTACATTTTCGAAACTGTAAAACGACTAGATGATACAATTCACTGCAAAATTTAATTTCCACTGTAAACTGTAAAAACGTTCTTTTTTCCTTGTGAATTGTAAAAAGCCCTTTTTATTTCTCGTAAAACTGTACCAGCTACCCCTACCCCCCCCCCCCTACCCCCCCCCCCCCAGATGGGGGCGCGTAGCGTCGGACATTGTGCGATTGGTTTGATGGAGATGCCTATAATATGGCTAAAGCTGCTACATATACATGAAAGAAAATACGGTCTCACTGCCGTACACCTCTACTCAAAATAAAAAAAGGTTGGAAAGTTACCTTTATTAATCACACAACTTGTAGTGCCAGCGTAAAACATCTGAATCCATTTTCTGCACGGTTCCCCGAAGTTGGGGACTTGTAAAGTTTGATTAAGGAATTGCCATGAAAAAGTACCGAATGCATTGGCAAATACGAGAAGTACTATCATACCTGCCAGTGGAAATTTATTTATTATTTAGAAAAGCGACAACTCGTAAACTAAACGAGCGTGTATTATCACCGCTATTCCGACATTTCGATCACTGTGAGTTATATTTGGTATGACCTTTTTTTTTTTTGCAAATATACCTGATGTAATTTTATATTCTGTATTAAGTAATGTATCGTTTCCTTTCTGCCTTGGGAATACAAGTGATTACACTTCAACGCAATTTCTTCTACCCATTCTCAATATGACGCAGCTGATACTTATATCTTCCCTAACAGTTATGAATGTATTAATTATTTCAACTATTCACATATTTTGCTTTTTAAGTATGTTTATTAAATTTTCTTTGCGAGTATGCTTGTTTGAAATCATATTTATCTTCATGTTTACGGGAAAACAACAAGCCGTTTTTGTTGATAGTGCTTACAATGTAACAGAAAATGTTCTTCATTTTCATCTATATTATATTATCTACCTTCTACTATATTTCGCATATATGCACTGATACGTAGCTTAGTCATTGTCACCTTCTGCTTTCAAAAAAGATGTCTTGTTTCATATTGCTTATTTTTGGGCATCATCAAAGTGTGTCTTTTTGATACAGTGCCTTAATTATTTCTTTAGATCTATTAAATAGAGTTTTACTATTGAATACATCATCGTGCCAGGTGCCCGCCATGTGTGCTTTACCCCTGATACATCTCTGAGTTCCAATGGCATTGAAAGAAGTGGCCGAGTCTGCCCTTTATGTAATAATTCTGAAATTGAAGACGGATACCATTTACTTTTAATTTGTTAATTATTTGAGATCATTGGGAAAAAATACATTCCAAGATAGTATTTACATGGCCTTCATATAATAAATTTTCGGAATTGATGAAGACGTTTGATAAACTACAATCCATGGTAGCTTATTTGTATCATTCTTCAAAACCATGGAGGTTTTATGCTACCTCCATATTAAAAATAAGTTATGAAATTTATCAAAACATTGAGTGACTTTACAGCATATTGTATTTTTTTTCTTTTGTTTATGCAATCTGTATTTTTGAGCCACAGGCCATTGAACTACAATAAAGATCATCATCGTACTCAACAAGTATGCCGATGTCTGATAACTAATATCGTAATCGGCACTAGTTCGCGAGCTGACAAATTTGCCCATAAGTTAATTTGTTAACAGGAACATATACATGTATATTTACTAGTACATTTGTAAATAATAGTACAGCAGTTGCGAACAACGCTGTTATTTCGGTAGCAAGGCCTAGTTATAAAACAAATGTGCTAGTTGACAGGTGGTAACTGTCGGAGATACCACTGTGTTGGTCGGCAGTTGCTTATTCCAAACTAGATGTCACTGTGTTGATTGGCCAAGGTGTTTACCATCCCAGATACCAATGTTTTGCTAAGCAAATGATATCTGGATTAGATACCACATTGCTCGATGACAATTGGTATCCGTTCTTGGTACCAATTGGGGGCTAATCTGCACTGGCTCGGAAGGTTGTAAATGATTAGCTAGTTTGAATTTGCATAACAATACTGACAATGAACGTGCATTCAACGCCACAAGTTTTTTTGTTTTTTTAGCCAATCAGAATTCATCTTCCGAGCCAGTGCAGATCAGCCGCCAATTGGAATCCGTTAGTTGTCAGGCAGGCACCTCGGAATCCAGCCCAGATACCGCTGTGTTGGTTGGCAGGTGTGGCCTGGACACCACTGTGTGTGTTCGTTGGTAGGTAGATGGATGATTGATCGGCCCATATAAATCACTGTGCTGGCTGGCAGGCGGGTATTTCAACTAAGATATCGCTGTGCTAGTTGGAAGGTAGTACTCCGGCCGCATGTAAAGCACATTGATGTACCTGGTATCAAGTGTCCAGGTAGTTCGAATGTATTTGTGTCTTTCGTCGGAAACACATCGTTTATGCGCAATATTAAAATACTGAGCTTTCAAATTCGGAACATTGTATTCATAAATACTTTGTTTTCAATGTAAATTCTGTCGTAATGAACAAGAAGAGCATGAATAATATATAGATCAAACTGTTTTACACGTCGTGACAATATATTGATAGTACAGGTTGATAGAATGGTACATTTGCATATTTGTTATCTTACACTAAAATGATTTTGTTAAACAATTTTCACGTAAGTGAATATAGTTTCAATGAACATTCTCGAATACACCTGTGCGCTAATTGTTTGATTCTTACATTAACATCCCTACAATGCCGTTTGTTAACAACATACACTTATGTTCTGATGTATGTCAAATATATGTATTAGGAAATAATTACTGCTTGATAATAAAGCATGTGCTCTGTAGTATTCTAAGTAAACAATGGAATATTTGTCAGTTTCAGTGACACGTGATAATGATTTGTACCGCTTTCCTCATCACACCATGATTTGACACCAGGTAAATGTTTGATTTAGAAGTAATCCCAAAAAAACTAAAACAAGTATGTAAATATCACAGTATGATGAGTTTCATTGTCAAAATTCTGTGAGCTACTACCGGAAATTATGTATGCCCCTTGCAGGGAAGCCTATGATTATCTAGAGGGACATATACAATTTAATTAGGCGCTTGAGTGAGGGTTTAAGTTAAGGGTGAGGGGTACGAAGAAACTCTTTCTCCGTCGTTTATTTCGATAGTAGATGTCATGTCTCTGCAGTACCAAGTCAAATATAAAACAAAACAGTTATTATGAGAATGAAACGTCCTTTTATGAATCCCCCTCCATGTGGCACCGTTAATTGCTCAGTAACGTCAACGTAAGTCAGGATAATCTCGCCAGGGCATTTCTTAGTTTTCTCATTTCCGGAAGGCTTGTAAGTCCAAGATTTTTCAGAGTGTAGTAATAGAAAAACTCAGGTGCCTGAAAGATGTAAAGGTAGGTAAACTTTAATTTGAATTGAATAATTTGTGGAATTATTTGCGTTGGTAAATAAAACTGCTTAATTTCGTGCAAACAAACAATGTAATTGCACCTGTAAAACAGTTGTACATGCGGTCGCTCTAGTTTTCGTTTTGTGCAGCTACCAATAACCTGTTGTTCGCATCCGAAGTTTGCTGATGTTGATATTAATATACATGTTAGTGTCCAAGTTAATAAAACTACTTTATATGATGGCAACATTGTCACGGTGCGATTGCCTATACGTTGCATTTGACCCAAGTCGAATACCATGTGTCTCGACGACGATGACTCTTTAATATTCACTGCAATGTTCATCTATTGAAATACGTTGAAACTAACTGCAAAAATTGTGTTCGCCTCGAATTATGTTGTCCCTGCACTCTTGTATATAAAGAACCATTCTGGGTGAAAATGGGTACAATTAGTGATAAACACGATACATTGTATATTGCTCGGTATTTCATAACGTGCAAACTAAATACTTGTATGAAATGTTATTCATAACAATAATAAACTGCATGAGTAACTGCGCATGCCCTTTGTATAACTGGTTCGTACTATTGAGGGTTGGCTCTTGCACAATCATAGTTTGCGTTACGTACCTCTGCTTTCATATGTAGGAGAAACACAATATCTTCTCCAATCACGGTTTCCATGGCTGTGCTATGCATTAATAACAAAAAAAAACCCAATTAGAATGAGTTGATGCTATCCTATTGTGCACACGAATATTTGAGTTGTTATGCAGTAGCAAGGACGGACAATCTGGGAGTGACAACAAGGTTTGGAGATT